TTTTACGTGGACACCAGACTGTGAGGTCGCACTCAACAAACTGAAGCATTGTTTGGTGAGTGGACGCGAGTCACATCGCTGTTTGCGCCGTCCTCATGCAGAACAGAATGGAAAGAACAAAGTCATCGCATACGCTAGCCAGTCCCTGTCAAAGACACAACAGAAATGGAATACCAAGGGCATGGGAACCTCCGAGACCGCATTTTGGGAGTAGTCTGGGCCACCCGCAAACTCCGACCCTACATCGACAGGCTACACTTCGACATCTATACGGATCACGAAGCCCTCACTTGGCTGTTCAACACGGGGACTCGGTCAGGCAACCACAATCTCGCGCGAAGGGCCATGGAATACAAGGACTTGACTACACAGTATTCCATCGGCCGGGCGAACTTAATGGTGCTGCAGATGGTCTCTCCCGGATTGCGTGCCCTGTGATGACTCGCAGTGTTAAACGGTTGACCATCGGTACCACGCGGAAAGGTGTTAGTACCACGCCTCCTCAAGAGCATATGGCTGAACCAGATGCTCAACCTATGATGACGAACCATATAGAACTGTTCAATCGGCGAGGACGACCCTCCTTGAGACTGTATAACGAAAAAGCCAAAGCCCTTGGATCGTGGCGCTACGAGCGTATCTAGATGGTGGCGCGCTACCGAACGATTCGCCTCTCCTTAAACTCATTATGAGGAATGCACAACAGTACACAAGCAGACAAAGCATCGTATGCCGCTACGTTACTCACAAGACGCCATTGCGGAACCCCGAACTCCTCGTGGTGCCCGTGATCCATTTCACCCTGTGGAAGAGGTCTTATATGCGAGTCATGCCTCTCAGTTAGCTGGACATCTTGGATTCACAAAGACGCGTGAACGAGTTCGCCAAACGGCCTACAGGCTGGACTGGCAGCTGGATTGTAAGGAGTGCGTCTCAAGATTCACCGACTGCAAACGTGCCAAAGGAGGACGACCGTGGCGGTAAGTCGAAATGAAACGTATGCCGGTCTATTCCCTCAAAGAACCGTTTAGCCTGATTGTGGTAGACGCCCTCGGGCCGCTACCGGCCTCAAACAAATGCAACAAGTACGTTCTCATCTTTGCCAACTACTTCACGCGGTGGGTGGAAGCATTCGCCGTGCCGGACTTGACGACGCCCGTCCACATTCGCTCGAGTCTTGATCGACAAAGTACTTTGCCGATTCCGTGTCCCAGAATGGCGCTGGCTGATCGTGGTTCTAACTAACTTTGTGTCCCAACTCGCCGCCACCATGCACTGTACACCACACTCGGGATCTACAAGCTAGCAAGCGCGGCCAACCACCCTCAAGGTCAGGGTCTCGTGGAGCGACTCAATCACACAATCGTCCAGATGCTCAAGATCTCCGTGATTGTTCTGTAGTTCGATTGGGACACGTATCTGTCCCAACTCCTGTTTGCCTACCGTACCTCGCACCAAGAAACCCCAGGGGACTCGCTATACTTCTATTCTGTCTGTTTGGACGAGACCCTAAGCTACCTCTCGACTTAGCGTTCCTCAACGTGGATGCTGCATGGAAATCCGATGATATGCCAGAATATAAGCGACGCCTAGTTGCGTCCTGGAGAGATAAGCGCTCGCTGGCTGAACAGCAACTCATTACGGGATAGAGCACGAACGCATAAGCCAAGTCAGACCAAAAGCCCGTCGATTACGACGATCAACGGCGGTCTGGGTGTAAAAATGCTTCACCAAGTCGGGTGACCCGAATGACCACCGGACCGGCAAACTAGCATGCCACTGGCATAAAGCGTATCGGATCGACCGAAAGACAGGTCCGAACACGTACAATATCGACATAACAACGCACCCGGACAAGATGATGACGGTCAATGTAGACCGGCTCAAACCCTTCCGTGGCTATTACTCTCGGCCGTTCAACGACGAAGTTCCGGAGGACGACTCCCTGATCGACGATCTCACGGTCGAGAGTCTACCCGAATCCAGCTGGCTTTCAGCGACGACGATGTCGCCAAAACCGCAACGGATTCGCCCACCACTCGCCCAGCGGACAAGCGCAGGACGTCCCAATTTCGCGAACCCGAGTATTTGGTCGAGTACTTGGACGGACACAAACATTGGATTCGAGCGTTCAAGCTGCTGGAATACAAGACTTATATTGACAGCTACGAGAACGAGCGAATAATGTTTCACCCCTACGGCGCTCCCGTCGGTTCGCCGACCTCGACGAGGAGCCGACGCAAAATGTGCTCTTCTAGTCGAGGAGATTACTCAAAAATTGACGCCTGAAGTTGGATTACATGGCGTCGTTCCGTCACCCCTTTGAGCCACCTGATCCTTAAGCTGTCACAACCTAGAGGCTGACCTCGACAAACCTCCCCTCTTGCTAGCATCCTCGCTGCTCACTCACGATGAAACAATCTGTGTGCCAGATGCGGCGAACAAGATTCAAACAAGTTTTTAGCACGCTTACAAGGTAATTGCCGATGACGGCGACCCACCTCCAGTCATCCGGACACATCCGATGCAACGACGACCGAGTGATCAGCCAACAACTCGACCCTCTGATGGTCTGGCAAGACAGCGAAAACCCAGTCTGTTTCTTCTCAGTCGTGGACTGTTCCCGGAGCCAACGCGGCGGATAGAAGGTGCCTTGACCGTCGTGTCGGACGTATGGGAAAGGCGCCGTTCGATGAGCCCAGCCTAGGGGATCCCGCTGTCGAAAACAACCCCCCGCACCACGCAAAGTCCTTGGAGTGAGCGTCGCGGGCTCGCACTAGCACATCCCACGCACAATTCCGATGGAGGTTCAATGCCACGTCAGGCGAACACGAATATTGGTTGAACTTGGTCGAAAACATGCGTTCTGGAAAAGCTGCGACGTCGGGCCATCGCTTCGAACCGTTGAGCGTCAAGTAGCCGAGCACGACGTCTGACCCGCGCGCAGCATTTAACACCTTCAGAGAACACGCCTCCTGGGCCAGCTCGGCCCAGTAAAGGTGGGGGTTACCTTAAAGGTACTGGAAGACTCTGTGCCCCTCCATGCGATACAAGTCAGCCACCAGGAGCAGCCACGCCTTCCTGTCGCGGCTCAGGTCCGAGTTGGGGTGGTTCGCAGACTGATCGATGTAAGACTGGATTTGATGGGTCCTGGCCAAAAGCCCAGCTGACTTACCACATACCCGCCCTCATCGTAATGTCCGTACTCGATCCAGAAGTATCGAGACCTCGCCACCTTGGCATGCCGTTCCCAAGATTGCCGCAAACGCTGGGGCCAGTCGCGTTGGGCCACAGTCATACCCGGTAGGAAGGACTAAAAGGACTCGATCCAGTGCTGCCACGGTTTGGAGACCCGCAACTTCAAGTACGCCTGCTTCGCCTCGGCTGACATCTCCACGCGGTCCAGTCGCTTTACCGCATCGGCATCAAACACGATCGGGGTCCGGGGAGTGCTGGGCGAAACTGATTTTGGCTTCACCAGACCCTCTCCTTCCCGCTTCAGACCACGTTTCGGCGCCGCCTTGGTTTCGATTTTGTCGTCAGAATCCGGTGGACGAGTATTAGTTGCAGGCTGGTTGTCTTCACTGCTGCTCTCGAAAGTGGCTTGTTCGCGGGCGGACATCTCGAACGACGCTTGGAACAGCCTCTGCCGGCGGCAATCGTGTGCAGTCAAGCTCGTCACGAAGTCCTTGTATTTCTCGAAGGTGTTGGACGACGTAAACGCACCCGCATTGGTTACCAGACTGCTCAATTCCACTGCGCTCTGAAAGGCCGAATCAGCTAATCAGCTACGGCTCGTTCCTGCGCGAAGTTGGCGAGATCGTCCACGGACCTCCGAGCTTGACATCAGCCGGTCAGGTTGTCGTGATGGAAGGCGTTCAGAGCCCGACACTCTGCTCGAGCTCGCACACGGAACCGATACTTCCTGGGGTGTGGATGTCGGCTGGACTCCGGAATCTGAAGGTTCCTCTGTGCCGGATTTGGGGCTCGATGGAGCCGATCGTGTTGTCGACGCCGACACGTGAGTTAGACGCGTCGCCATCGTCGCAATGCTAGTCCGAGAATGCCACATGTTATCCGCTCGAACGAGACGACAGTCAAGAATTGAAGTCGAACGAAAGGCTGGCACGTCCTGGTCTACGATTGGTTGGCTAGGGCGAATCTGGCCCGCCTGCTAATGAAGTCAAGTCTCTGCCTGTTTGGACTCTACACCTTTCAACCAAGACATCATCGTCGGCCCGGTTGTTCGAATGAGGCCGAACTTTGAACGGGGGGTCTATGACGATGATGGCCATCAAGTCATCCCTACTCGACCACGAATTGTCGACACAAATGAATAGGCTCCGAAACTTAAAACTTTTAGCCTAGAGGCGCTTGACGTCCCACTAGAGGGGCGCCTTAATGTTATATAGCTACATCCAAATCACTCTTTAACCTGCACACTGGAAGTCACTTACTTCCACCCATCTTGCGCTGTTCTTGGTGAAGCCTAGACTATCCGGCTCTGAAGCTCAGCCCCCCGACCTTCCTTTTAATTTGTGCGCTTACGCCTTCCCCCGTGACCGTCACATTTCGCTGCAACGCCGTCATTACGATGAAATCGAGCTATTGTAGACCTGACAGATATTGAAAGTATCTCTAATTGGTTAAGTTAATGCATTTTCAACACACTTCAACCAATGGCCATGGATATGTCTAGTCTACGAAAGCTCATCACAATGCATTGTCTTCAATGAAAAACGCAAAGGCCGAACAGCGAACAGGAAGCAGCGAGGGCTTAATGCGTACCGCGTATGTCGAATCTGATCAAGCGCTGTTTCAGCGTGTTCAAGGCCTGCATCAAGAGCTACCTTGCTCTCCACACAGACTCATTGATTGCGCGTGGTGGGTACGGGATTTTATTCGAGCGACTGATGGTCTTACTTGAGGACGCAGCCCGCGAGTCACAGTTGTGTATCATTCAACCGCTGATTGAGAAAAATTCAAAGTGACAGGGAAATTATAGGGAAAATTTGTGTTTTTAACTACCCATCGTCTTATTAGTGCCGTTTGATACGCTTTATTTTTCAACTTGGATGTATAAATATCTTATCTTGTCGTGGAAAAGGTGAATTATTCCTCGTATTTCGCATTGACGAGATTTGTAGAACTGGGAACGGCGATAACATCGCATTAATATCTGCGAATCTAATTCGAATTTGCTAATCAACATTCAGCAAAACCTGTCAAAATCTGTCTTCATTTTTTGGTTAAAGATATTCCCAGCAATTGTAGGTTCCTGCAATCTCCGTAATTTGATAACTTTGAGGATTGCTACATCCGATGACCATGCAACAAGGACCAGCCAAGCATCATATCCGCCCTGCACTTGCACAGAAAGCAAGTGCTGGGCGGATATGACTCAATCGAAAATTGTTGGCAAAGGGTTGCAATCTGTACAGGAACGACGGAAATCCTCCCCCGTGGTCCTAGGGAAATATATTGAAATATGTATAACGCATAAATATTTCGACGCTGGGTTTTGCTGGAAATTATATTCCGTTGATCTTTTGAGCTGATAAGGACTGCGCTGTCCATGTCAAAGTGTTGGAATTGGGAAGGCGGTGGAATGCTCACAACCATATTGGTGCGACCAACTTTAATACTACTGTACTAGTGCATTCACAACTAGTCAATACTCTTAGTACATCCTACCACGACAGGGACAGAACTTTCGTAAACGAGAGACTGATAACCTCACTAGGTATTTCATCACCATCGGCAATCATTCGTTGAATCATGGTCGGCCTCTTCTCGGCTGCGGAAACCACGGATAAATTGCGGAGCCACTTGTTGGTAGGTCAGATTGCTCTTCAGATACCCCGCGTCCACACAGTGAAGCGACCAATGTCATCGTCCCGAACAGTCATAATATAATTTTGTATTTTTTCTTGATGTAAGTATAACTTCTCTCAATTTTATTCAGTTTTCGCTGCTGGCAAACCAATGCTGCATGCTACGTCGAGAGATGTTAGCGCATATTGTTAGAGCACGTAACGGTCTTCTGAAACATTTTGCGCGAAATCGCCGTTCGCCAATTGCCTTTCAAAACACGCACCTGAAAATTCTCTTGCTGCGAATGAACGAAAATACGCCCCGGTTGTAATATCCTGACCGCATGTAATAGGTTCGAACTGAGAAAGTATATAACTTAATCAATGTTGAGAGAAAGTATCCTTCGGTGAGATATAATGAAATATTTTCGACCTTGTGCGATATTCAATACCATGCGAGAATTAGAATGAATCAGTATGGTTAAGCTGGGGTCACATAGTGAGCACCAAACTGCTCAGCTAAATGGCAATCTTCCTTTAACATTTTCTGCACCTCTGTTGATAATGATAGGATAATACCATGAAAACCTAAGAATTATGGTAAACTAAGTAACAGGTATAATGTGTTTGGCTTATGTTTGACGACAGGCACATCAACTGTTTCATGTCATAAGTATGGGCGTGAATAATATTTTCATTGATTGGCCAAATATTCTATGAATTTGATGTGAATTATTCCGCAAGTCCACAATAGAAGTTTGGTCGAGTACCACGGGGAAGGATTTCCGTTGTTCCTGTACACTCTCCCAGCAAACAGTACGTAACACTGTCAGCCGTTGGACGAGCCCATCATGAGACCGTTCAAGCTATACCTGCTTAACGTATAGATTTTGAATCAACCGACTGCTACTTCCCTGTGGAAAGCGCATCGTCATGAGCGAGCGTGCCATTCAAACGTGCTCCATGGTAACTGAAGAAGTAGAAGTGCCTGCTTTGTCAAGGCGCTGCCAACGTGTTGTAACATGTAGCTGTGCTGGTTTACATTTTGGCTTGGTCATAGTTTGAGGTGACATAAACAAGAAAATTATCACTGGAATGAACTTGAGTTCAATTGACATGACCGACACCCTTGTTTTGCAGTTGATGTCAATACGATCATACCAGAGATTGTGGTTGAGTATAGCGCGTTACCTATCCATCTGTTCAAGGGAGAAAATTGGAGGAGAATTGTGCCAATGGGTAGAGGCCATATACCCAAACAGTATATTTTTACAATGACTTGGCTAATGTATTGTATTTAACAATTTAAAATATGACATGGTCATGTCACATTTAAGGGATCCCACGTCAATGGAAGTCCCCCTTCAACCACTTGCAAGGATATTGGTGAATCAAGAACTTCTTACTTGTATGAAAGCGCTTCCTTTGAAACTAGCTGCACAACAAGGAGGTTTTCAATAAGCCAGCAAATACTTACTGTATAAATAGCTTTTGGAACTTCATAACTGTTTAAATTTTTACCCGTTGAATTTGCAAAAATTTCAGTCACCTGAAACACATTTGTCAAAACAAGGTTTCTGTCTGTCCAATGACATGGTTGCAATGCGATGTTACAGTATTCAACGTTTTCACTGTAGAGGGCAACATGCCGAGTGAGATTGTGTAGTCTGGTGTGCTTGTGTCAATACGAAAGCGTATTGGGAAACAACATCCAATGTGGACAAGACAACTGTACCCACTGATGTTAAGCATATAATCAAGCGGAGGAAAAGAAATTAACAAGGACTCCCTCAGTAACGATGAGAGAAGCGGGAAGACCTCAAGCTTAAGATCTCCACGCAAGTGGCGAAATGTAGACTATTGAGGCTGTTTCAGCATAGCAACCTGGGACAAGTCCCTTGGAAGAGGGCAGCATAGTGGGTGATACTCCCGTCTCTGTTCAGGTCGTATTGTGTATGATACGCCTTCATTGAGTCGAGTAGTTTGGAAATACAGTTCAATGTAGGTAGTAACTGTCATCTAAAACTCAATTTTTGTACAAGACTGATTGCAAAGAAGTACCGTGACGGAAAAGAACTCTGAAAAGAACTATGAAGAGGGAGTAAATGACTATTGTTGATATGGTACAAACTCGAGCCCATTGAATCGAATCACCCAATGATGCCATTGGTCAATCTATAACAATGAAGCGATGATTGTCTAATGTATCTATCAATCAAAAGTGGTAGAAACCCCTGTCTTGTCCAGTCGCTGACTGAGTGAAGTGCGAAGGTTGAGGAATTGTAGGACTATGTCGCGCAACATCCGGAAAATTGCAGCAAAGCAATAACAACACTGGAGTCATTTTTCCGTCGCTCACTGTAGTCGCGAAAATCCACGCTTCATCCGAGCCGTATGAAGTTGTGCCATGAGAACGGTCGAACGAGGCGTCACAGAATACCTCGATGTGCATATTGCATGTGGCGATATGGTTTGTTCCGGTGCAGCCAACAGTAGTTCATGCCGTGAATCCGTTTTCGCATTGGGCTTGTTCGTCGGACGTGGGGACAGACATGTACTTCACGTCGGGCCCACAGTATTTAACGATTTCGAGTGTTTAGAAGGCATTACAGCGTACGACGTCCTCGAGCTCACTCGTCGTCCTATAGATAGCTGACTTGAGCTCCGTGATGAAAGTCGGCACGCCGTCGGGATGGTGGGTATTGGGCCGACTGGACAGTGTGTCGCAGTGCTTTTCGGTAGATCGAATGGGATTGTGCTTCCCCCAAGAGCGCGTGTCGGAGTGTTGGTCATAAGTTGGTGAGTCTCG